GATTCAGGCTGCACAGCAATGGGACCGGTCTGTCGAAACCACAGGGCTTAAAAAATCAGTGCCTTAATCTTCAAATTAGTCATTTAATTCAAATGTAGACATAATTTATTTTCTGCCTTCTTAATGTTGCTACGCACGACTGCAAATTGCCGAGACAAAACACAATGAGCTGATCTGTAGAGCGACGTGAAGTTGGTGGAAAGTACCTTTTGTGTTTAGATATCTCACTTACCTTAAATAACTCCATATTAAACTGAGCAGTATAAGGCTATCAAGCTGAATTAAGCAGCATTATTAGTCACAGATGTCCATCGCTGGCATATTTGTTAAACATCTGTCCAACATATGGCTGTCGAGACCATCTTAGTGTTTTATTTTTTTATGCACCTACTTGTTACCACTGGATGGTGCCGTCTGTAGGATTTGAAGCAGTGTGTCACCATTTAACATGTGGGTTTTGTTGAAACACTTTTATACGTATCTTTAAAAAAAAAAAAAAAAAAGTCACAACAGCTGGCGTTCTTTGAGAGCACCCACATTTAAAACCTCCTGAAGCAGGACACAAAATCTATTCCAGTTCTGTTTCTGATCCTGACCTCCCAGTAGAGAACTGAGCTACTTTTTTTCCCCCTGATGACAAATGTCTTTAAGGTCATTCTCTCTCTCACGTTTGTAGATTAGAGGAAGTCTGACCTCACTGGCCTGTTATTGATGACACAAAGTAATCAAGTCTCTGTGTGTGTTTTAAAAAAGAACTTGAACCCCTCTAAGTTATCCTTTGGGGAAACCCGGCCACAGCTGACATCTTGGAGTGCTTCTCATTTGCTGTGGCCAGTTGCTCATGTGGGTTAATAGAGTGTTGAATTCTCTCTCTCTCTTTCTGTCTCTCTCTTTACTGACAGAAAAGCTGATTCATCCCGGCCCAGAAAATGATCTCATCAACCCCCACCTTCTTTCTCCCTCGTTCTCTCTGTCTGTCTCTCTCTTCTGCTCGCTCCGTCCATCCCTCCCTTCCTTTCTTTTTCTCGCTCTCTTTCTTAAACAGACACATCCCTCTTTTTAAATGAAAACAAGCCCTCCTCCTTGGCAGCAGACTCTGCCTAAATTCAAACAGTCACACTTGAGGATTGAACATGAGCTGCTCCAATAGAGGACAGCCTGTTAAAGGGGAAAGGACATGTGAGGCCCGGACAGAAATATTTAAAGCTTATAGAGGAAGCTGTTTTCTGAATAATGCATTAAATTTAATAATAAATGCAGACAATACTGAAGCATTCCACAGCATCAGCAAGTATTGATCACTTGGTTGAGCTTGTACTGAAACAAATTGAACAGCAGCTCCTGAGTCACATTTTGTCGATGAGGTTTTTTAAACATTTTTTTTTACTAACAGCTGCTGTCGCCTTTAAAATCTAAGCAAGTTTCACTGACGTTTTCAAATTCTAACGTACATTCATAACAGGAAAATCAGGTCTTCAAAGATCCAACCATTATGTTGACCTAGAAAGTCATTAATCCTCAACAGGATCAAGAACAGGGTGTGAAGATATTTGTCAAGTAGTGATGGAGCTTAAAACATAAACAAGAATTAATGGAATTGACTCACATATTCCTGTCGATGTAAATGCAAATGATTTCTTAAATCTCAAGCTAATTGCATCTGAAATACCGTCTTTGTTTCAGATATTTTACGAGCATTAGCTGCCTGATTTGAGGTCTTTTGATTTAAATTGATTCATTGAATTGACCTAAAAATTATCCTTCTGCTGAAAGATGATCAGCTCATCGAATCAAGATTTAAAAGAAATAAAACTAGATTACTAGCAGGCTTCCCATCATGTTTTAAAACTCCCATGAAACTTGTCTTTTGCAGCTTTCAGAACACATTTACAATGAAAGCTTTCTGTTCAATCCTGGTTGTTCCTTGACATCAAAATGAAAACTATGCAAACAATGAGGAAGGTCTTTACTCCTGTATGCTTGTTGGAAATTAAATGGAAGCAGCGTGACGTGTTGTCTGAGGTATAAACTGGTTTCAGTACTTGCACCTGATGTAATAAAGAACTGACTCCTTAAATTGAGGAAATATAAAAGGTTAGCAAGTCTGTTACGTTATCTGAGACTCGACACGGTTGAACTTGATCAGATAACTCAGTAATTTGACATTTCAAAACTCTGAGATTAGTTTAGTTCAGTTCAAGGTCAGTCATATTAGTCAGGCAGCAGGAGAACTTGTGTTTCTAAGTTGAACAAACGTAATACAACTTACAGTGAAGGTTTTATTGGAATGTTGGTGGGACTTTTGTTTGTTTGAATCAAACACATTTTCTATGCTCTGTTGATTTCTTATGCTTCAATTGTTTTTACCTTTTCTGCATCAGTTTCTATTAGAAGTGTCTTTAATTGTGTGATAGGAAAACACATGATTTAGGCAACAATTCAAAATATAATAGAACATATATGGAAGTAATAATGTTTTCCACAGTAGATCCAGTTGTTGTAGCAGTTTTTCAAGATAAATCTTCTTTTTCTGTTTTTATTGGGAGAACAAACATGAGTTCTGAATACTGATGTGGACATGTGCCCTGTAACCTCCCTGACATCCACACCTCTGCTCTTTGTGCTATCAATCTGACTTTTTCTGTACTTTTAGATAAACCAGAGAAAGACTGATCGACATTTTTCCCAAGTTAATGCAACACTAAAGTGAACTCGCTATCAGAGCTCCACTGTGCTTCTACTGCCGGTGACACACTCTTCCTATCATGCACCCAGCAGATCATGTGCTCTTGAATTGGCTGCTTTGTTTTATGCTCGTCTTTACAGACTGTGTGACTAGACTTGATTACTGACTATCTCGCTATCACCCTGTTTAATCCCCAATCTCCTCCTGTCTCAGGGCTTACAGGTCCTGTCCTTACTGCTGTTAGATCTTTGATTTGTGCCGTGTTCCTCCTACAAACCGGCAATCACACAGTTGTTACAAAACGTCTTTTAGACAAACCTGGCAAAGCTTAACAAACACAGCAGAGTTTCCTGCTCGTCTCATCCTTTAATAGCTGCTAAGATTATATAGCTGAGAGGGAAGTTATTGCGCCAACAGGAGTTGCAATCTCAGGATACTAAAGCTCCAGCTTTAAAGACCTTCATGTCTTCGGGCTGTTTGGTGAAGAGGCTCCACAAAGACTTCATTATGGACAGAGCTGAAGTGATAACGCAAATGAAGAATCATAAAAATGTGGTTGTCATTTTCTTACAGAATGTGCAAAACAGCACGTACTGCAGCTCTGTGAGCTCAGCGATGGACCGAACAACATAAGTCTGACATTTGCATGAACTACTGAATGCTTTTGAGATATTTGTACTTAAGCAAGCAACTTTATTTATATGCATTTTACCATACACAGAGGTTATCCAAGTTCTTCATTAGGAATAATACACACAATACACAGAATTATATATGAAGATTAAAACATGTAAAGAATAAAATAAAAAATGCAGCAGAGTTATATTAAATTCCATCCATCCATCCATTATCTATACACCGTTTAATCCTCATTAGGGTCGTGGGGGGCTGGAGTCTATCCCAGCTGACTTAGGGTGAAGGCAGGGGACACCCTGGACAGGTCACCAGTCTATCACAGGGCTACACTTAGAGACAGACAACCAAGCACACTCACATTCACACCTACGGACAATTTAGAATCACCAATTAACCTCAACATGTTTCTGGACTTTGTGGGAGGAAGCTGGAGAACCCGGAGAGAACCCACGCTGCACGGGGAGAACATGCAAACTCCACGCAGAAAGATCCTGGGTGTCCTCAACAGGATGCGAACTGGCGACCTTGCTGTGAGGCAACGGTGCTAACCACCGAGCCACCTTGCAGCCCGTTATATTAAATTATTTTTTAAAAACAACACAGATAAGTTGAATAAAGTGCATAGAGATTTTATAGAATAATTAACACTAAAGTATATACATAAAAAAACATGTTAAAGTTAAAGTGTGTCATAAATAAGAAATAATAATTTTTAAAAAGTGCAGACAAGTTTAATAAAAGTCCTGGCAGTTCAGGCCACACTAAAAATGTTAAATTATTGATTAAAATCTGATTAATAGTGGGGTTTTTTCTAGCTTGCTTTTAAATATGACTTCAGTTGGGGCAGTATTTTCAATTAACATACTCTAACTCTTATATATTTTACTTAAATACAATATATATACGATGCTGTACTTGTCACTGGGCCTGCTGATCAGTGTTTAGTGGACTTTCATTCATTCATTCATTCAATCTTTATTGAAACTGTAAATATACTGAGGTATGAAGGCCTCCTTTGTCATATAAGAATGTAAACAAAAATCTAACCACACTATTATGAAAAAAAGGCAAAATTTTGGGAAAAAAGAAAAGAAAGAAACCATTAAGATTAAATATAGATGAAAAAGCAAGAACATCAACAGTTCAGATGTTTGTGTCTGATCGGATGTTTAAAGAGGTATTTGAGGCCTTGAGGATCCCTGATAATCAAAACCTGCACCTCCAGAGCAGACCTGGTGAACATGGGGTTAAGTTTTCCTCCTCTGCCGAGCCTTTATCCCTCATAATGGGATGTGCCACCGAGTCGCTCTGCTGCTCTAAGCTACAGCAGGTCAACATATTCAGCGCAAGAGGCGGCGCAACAACATGGGCTGAGCCTATTTGCGCGGAGAGACGAAGCTGAAGTCGGTGCCGCTCAGTGGTCGTGATTTCACCGACGAGGAGCTGAGACAGCGGACATGGTGACACGTGGATCCCCGTGGGCGACAGGACCCACCGGCCACCAGCAGCACCGGGCGGATTAGGCGGTCGCCGCATGGGTGTGTGCGCGTCTCGGCTTCCCCGCGCCCGGACCCGGCGATGCGCTTGTTGAAGGAAACGGGATTCGCAGACATCCGGAAAACGCATCCATGCGCCACGGCCGCTCCGCATCCAGATATGCTCCTGACAACACAAAGCCTGGCTTCAAGGAGCTGCCATAAGAAACCGCACACGCACGTCGCCATGGGTGCGTCAACACGGTTATTTCGCTACGTTTTGCGGACGAGGCTCCGGTGCGCAGTTTCGCAATGAGAGAATCGGGATTTATCAAGTGAGACTTTTTTTTTTAATTGATACATAATCTGACAATATGGCTGATCAGAGCAACATCCAGTCCGCCGCCTCCAAGAGCATCAGGCCCTTTAAATCCAGCGAGGAGTACCTGTACGCCATGAAGGAGGACCTGGCGGAGTGGCTCAACACCCTGTACGATCTGGATATCACCGCGGACACCTTCATGGAGGGGCTGGAGACCGGCTGTGCCCTCTGTCGGCACGCCAACAACGTGAACCGCGCAGCGCAGGACTTCCAGCTGGAGAACCCGGAGGCTGCGCACTCCATGAAGCTGCCGCGCAAAGACGTGGTCTTCCAGTCGCGCAACGTCGTCCCCGGGTCGTTCCTGGCGCGCGACAACGTGTCGAACTTCATCAGCTGGTGCAGGCAGGAGCTGTGGATCAAGGACGTCCTCATGTTCGAGACCAACGACCTGGTGGAGAAATGCAACGAGAAGAATTTCATCCTGTGCCTCCTCGAGGTGGCGAGACGCGGGTCCAAGTTCGGCATGTTGGCTCCCATGCTGATCCAGCTGGAGGAGGAGATCGAGGAGGAGATCCGGGACCAGGAGAGCCTGCGGATCGATGCGGGGGAGCCGCCGGAGCAGAGCCCGCCCAGCAGGTGCTTCAGCCGGAAGGAGAGCTGCAGCCAGAGTGTGGAGGATGAAGAGGAGCCTGATCCAGAGCCGTTCATCTGGCCGCAGAAGAGAGTTTTATGTGACATGAGGAATTTGGATGAGTTGGTGAGTTGAGAAGATAATAAAAAAAAAAATCACACACACAAGCTGCTGTGCATTAGTCCCCTGATCTGACTCCACAGGAATCCAAAACGTGTCATAAGTGCATTATGATTCATTAGATTAGTGTAATGATCTCACTGCTCATAAGTCTCAGTGGATTTGCAGGGAGGCCACGATCACTGGATGAATAGCGTTTCCCACAGGCTTTCTCCACTCCTGGCCTTGGCCAAAAGTAAATATCATGCAGCCTGTTTTGTCTGGTTGCTAAAAAGTGTGGCGCAGCTGATAGAGGAGAGATTTGTCCCACAGTAAAACACAGCAGAGTGTTAAAAGTGAAGCACTGTTTCTGAAAGTGTCACATCAGTGCTGCAAAGGATTCAGGCGCCTTATAGATTCCCTGTGGCCTGGCTGCGTGCATGCATACGTGCACAACTTAGTTTAAGACCGTGCTGTTACATTCCTGCTCACCTGCAGGTCACCTGGAGGGTCAAACATGCTCACCTTCGCCTACAGCAGAGCTCTGAAAAGGGGTCAACTCAGAGACATTCTTGTAGAAGTGTCGGCTCTCACTGGATGGTTATCTTCTGCCTTTTTCATTCAGCCTGTCCATCAAGGCTAATTAACACAACATCCTGGTAGATTATACATTCAATCGTAAAGCTCCTTAACAAACTCTAAAAACATTTCTCAGTCTGGCTCCATCAACTCTTGTCATTTGTGGGGTTGAACCGGTTGACCTTTGCCAGGTCCTGCCGACATGTGAGATCTTGTTAGAGCAGAGCTAATGAGCAGACGGCCGGTCCAGCCCAGCACATGCTCGTTGGGTTTTCCAGCGAGGGTGAAGTTAATATTTTCATGCTGATGAGAAGAACAATGTCCTTCTTTGACACCAAAGACGTGAGGCGCAACAGAGAGGGAGGAGAGTCACACTCATGCCTGTCGGGCGGCAGAGCAGAGCGGTTCTGGTGTGACCTCCACAGACAGAAATAGAGAGCATGTGGAGGAGGATGTGCGCTGTTCAGTCTGCACACTCTCACTCATATGACTGAGGGCTGAGGATGATACAAGCCAACCGAATTTTGGGACACAGAAAAGCTACAGGTGCACGAGCCCGTCTTTATTTTCCTTTACATCCCTCAGCACACACACTTTGTCCACAGTGGCGTCTGTCGGACGGCGACAGATTTGAGGAGCTCTCGATCGATTTAGGAAGTCGCCGTGCGTCTGCTGAATCTCCATCCTCGTATGAATTTGATCGCATGTAAGCTGCAGAACAACCAGCTTCATGAACATGAGGCAATACAGCCAAGAAACCACAGCGGCACTTAGACGACAGGCCGGGATATTAAAATAGTACGCTATTGTCAAGGGGGCTTTACAGAGTTTGCTGAGATGTACCAACACATCCTGTCTGATGACTTCAGCTCTTTGTGGGCCATTTCTCATGTTGAGGTTTAGTCTTGGCTTCCACTGAATGCCTCCTAATTTCCTGAACCACAACACAGTATATTTACCAGGAAATTACCTAAATGAAACCCACATTTCCCTTTAAATACTCTGATCAGTATCTGCTGCTCAGCTGTTCGCCTTTAGGCCTCTTGGTCCTCTTGGTCCTCTTGGTCCTCGTCACACATTCATCCCACAGTTCGTCTTTCTGTCCGATGCCGAGGCTTTACTAGAGATTAAAAGTAGATTCATGATGATTTAATTTTGTGTCCACTTTTTAACAAAATACATAATTTATCAACCTCTCCATTACCCCTTCTTCTTATTCATATCCAGTAACATTATTGATGAAATGTCATCAATTAATTACCAGCCCATTCGCTCCAGAGATGTGCACGGCGGCCTCACGTGCCCGTGCAAACTGAAATGCTGCATACGTTCAGCTTCCATTTAGTTTGAATATTTTCTGTCCAGAAATCTTGATGTGGGACAACAGATGATGGAGGACACCATCTACGTGGAATTATTCATAACTAGAGCTTGAGCGACACGAGACTTTTGGGGCCAAAGCTAATACCAAGAATGTTGCTATATTTGCAAATATTCTTTATATAAATGATGTGAAGACACCGTTTTACTCACCGTCTGCTCAGCTTTGACACAGACTCTGCTACATGTACTGCAGAATATGGTAAACTATAGAATCTGAGCTTTTCTCCTGGACAACTTTATGCTAACACCTTTTCTAAACCAATCCAAGCATGTTTTTCTTCATTATGTTCTGTAAAAATAATATGTTTTGGACAACATATAGCACACATGTCGATATATCTACATAGATATATCAGCTGAGCGCTAAAGGAAATTCATTAGTGCACATGCTATAGGAACAATCAAATTAAATTTCAATGCAAAATGTGAGCTGTATAGTTCATATATAACTATTTTATGCTACTATCATATAAGGAACACATTTATTTTAAAAATAGGTCAGAATCACATTAACAGCCATTTTCAAAGCCCCCGTAGCATCTTACTGAGATTTGTGTCTCTGGCAGCTGTGTGTTCGTCTATACGTTGCCTGCTAGTTGGTCAATCAAGCTAATCTTCTTGTTGAGACAATACAAGTGTGGAGATAACAGGATTACATGTCATTATTGTAAAGCGTGTAGTACAGACAGTCGGCGGTCGACTCAAACTACAAGCTCCCTCTTTGGACTTCTGGCTCCTTCAACATTCACTGTGCATCACGAAATATCACTGGTTTTAATTTGTCCCTGAACACTCGGCTCAAGGCAAAGTGACTCAGTGACTCTTGCTGCAGACGGTTGGTGCGTCACACCAGCTACCTGCTGGATACAATAGGTATAAGCTCCTGGCTTTCCTGGTTACACCCTCACATAAATACAGCATCCACCCCTGACCTGCCGCTCTCTACGTTCTTAATCATCTCGCAGTGGGATGGATTTCCACCCTAAAGTTGAGGAAGTGGCAGGAGACTCATTTCCTTCATCATGGATTGACTCAATGTTTTCCCAGTGCATGAGATGGTTCTCATCGCTGTATATGGCCACATAAAGTTTATCCTGTGCATTAGGGGGATTTTCTTACATATCGCCACTAGAGAGGGATTATGACCATGATCGAATCTGTATCTCTTTATTGCCATATGCAGCGCTGAGCCCGAGGCAGCGTGCTTGTCTACCTACACAAATGACCTTTTATGTGCGGTTTCTAGGTCATCAGTCGCTGTGCTTAATTGTAAGAACACATGCAGTCGCCATAGAAATCTGATATGGATTCAATAATTAAAATTACACTTAGAGGCCTCCTAATGTTCGCTGTAATTGTTCACACATTTGCTGCATGCGTAGGCATCTATTCAGCATTCAAGCTTGTAAACAACAGACCGGAGGAGCTTCACACTCATTGTTGACTCCCTTCATTTTGCCGTCTTCCCTTCTTTCTGCTCACTCGCATAAACTGGTTCATGTCTCTTCTCACCCCAGGCTTCAACATTCAGCTCTTGTTTAGTTCGTATATGTGAGCCCCTCACTCCCATCCCCCACCTCTGTCTCCACTGGAGATGATAAAGCAAAGAGTGGAACCGTATGTCCCGTTGGTGGCATGGAGCAGAGGAAATGAATAGGCCGCCACTGTCGGCGACGAGGTAATCAAAGGTCCACATCTTAATCTATAGATGGAGACACCAGCAGAGCGAAGGGGAGGAGGAGGAGGGGGGGTGGTGTAGAGACAAAACGTGTGAATTCTGCCTATATGGACACTCTGCTCCATTAACCTTATGGTCCAATTCATGCATTCAGGGAAGAGAAAAGAGGAGCAGACAACACACAGTGTGCCTTGAGTGACGTTACTGTACACTCTGATAAACCTGACTGGAGTGGATGTTGCTGTGAGAGGCAGCGCTACAGTAGAGAGAGGCAAACGGAAAAGTAGGTCATCATGCTTTGCAATGGGTCACACTCGTACGCTTTGCTGAGAGAGCATGGCAGCCTTCAGTGTTTCCCCCCTCTCGTGTCACACATGCTCGTGCTTTCCTGGATTTTGGACTTTAAAGGTTATTTTGCGCGGTAACGCTCTCTCCCTCGGTGTTATCCAATGCAGCAGGGTGCACCAGGAAACTGCTGACTCCTCACTTTGCATGCCGCCCGCTTTACGTCTTTATTGCAGCGTTTGATGCTATCAGCTGATGGTTTGCATAATTATCATGTTAATTGGGTTTCTATCTGAGCAGGCTTCTGTCTGACTGTGACAGTAATTGTTGGCTGGTTATTTCCTGCGCTCGCCTGCAGCCTCTTCAAGCTGGTCTCAGGTGGAGGCCGAGCATCAATTCCTCTAACCTTGACGGTGACAAGGGGAGCGCTGGGTGTTGTTGAGTCGCATGAGAACAAACCGGCAAATGAGTTAGACACTGACCGGATATTTAACTTCCTGCGCCGGGGTGATTACATTGCTGTTTGACTGCAGTAGATGAGTAGTGGAATTATTCACCTTATGGCTCTTCATGTCCATCAGATCCCCATATTGCTGCAGCCTCTGATGGGCTGTTTGTCATGGGGCCAGGAGACAGGCATCGATTTACTGAGAATGATTTCCCCCAAGCAGGGCAGGATGTCTAACCTGGATGATTACATTTTTCACTCTGGGAAAACACGCAGCACAGATTATAAAATGAGAAAAAGCCCTTATATTCTTCAGAAAACCGTTAAAGGAACAGATGGACGTGTTGGAAACATTTCCTTATATTTAGTCGGGAATCTTTTTATACTCATTTGAAACCATCTACTAGCACCTTTAAAGCTCACTTATTAAAGCTATTTTTGACATCACTGAGCAAACAGTTTACACTAACCTTTCAGTATAATTCAAGTGGTGTAAGAAGAAACGAGACTTCTGCACCTCAGCTTGAATCTGTTTTTTCTAGCCCTTGATAGAAGACGTCAGCCAATCATGGAGCTTTTCACACAAATCAGATGAGAAAGCATAAAGAGCAGCAAATTCCAGTGTGAGAGGAGGACAAGGTGGATAAATGGGTG